CGGTGGGACTGGCTTTGTGGGCAGAGCCCTGAGCCAGCTGCTGCGGAGCCGCGGGCATGAAGTGAGCCACGTCTCTCGGCGAGGGGGCAGGGACCGGATCACCTGGGTAAGGGCTGGGAGCGGTGTCAGGGCTGAGGAACGGGCCTGGCCTGTCGTGGCGTACAGGGAGGCTGCAGTGGGGAATCTGGCTCCTTTGGATGGACTCTTTGCTTCCTGGGTGCTCCAGGGGTCAGTCTTTGGGGTGGGTACTGCTGTAGCTCTAAGGAGCAAAACCTCCTCCATTCATGGCTATGCTCCAGGCAGTGTCCAGAAGGAGCTGGCTGGAGTTCTTGGGAGCCCACCCTGCCTGGCTGTTGGGAGGGCTTGTGCCAAGGGGAGGTTGGGTGTGTGATGTCCCTGTTACCCCTGCCTAGGAAGAGTTGTCCCACTCTGGCCTGCCCCAGTGTGACGCCGTGGTGAACCTGGCTGGTGAAAATGTCCTCAATCCTTTCCGCAGGTAACTTGATCTCCCACAGTGCTGTTGGGACAAGGTGAAGTCAAGACAACCCAGTGTTGTCAGAGAATGTGGAAGGGATCTGGGGAGAAAACAGGGTGTCCAGGAAGCACTTGGGTTACCTAACTGTTGACCTGTGGGTCCTCGGGTATCCGAAACATTGCTGTGGGCCTGTTAAGTTCTGTCAGACCTTTGCAAGACAGGTTGCCTTCTGGATTGACAGTTGGAGGCCAGGCAAAGTAGTTCCTCATTTCCAAAATGACACTGGATGCCTACATTTAGATAATGCAGTCAGAACCAAAGTTTGACCTCTATGAGAGTGTTTTTGGAAATGCCTCCCCTGGGTGTTTGGGGAAGAATTCACTTCACCCAGCTTTGGTGTCCAGTTCCTCTGCTGCCTTTGTCCTAAGGCAGTTGAAATCCCTCAGCCTTTTGTCAGGAGTGGAGAGCCGCCATTTCCTGAAGTCCTCATGCATTTAGGTAGTAAGATCCCATGTCCTCCCTCTGCTCTGGGATGGGGAGAAATTCACATGACCTCCTGTGCTTGTTGAGTGGGTGTGTGCTGGGGCCCCCTGTGATGCTGTTATTTCCTGGGATGTCCTTCTGGGGAGTATAATCAATGGCTCTCTGTTTCCCAGATGGGGCGATGCCTTCTGCAGGGAAGTCATCAGCAGCCGGGTTGAGACCACCAAGACCTTGGCCAAAGCCATTGCTGATGCTGAACAGCCACCCCGTGCTTGGGTCCTTGTCACCGGCGTAGGTATTGATTGGGCCCAGCCAAGGCATGCTGACCTGGAGAGGTATACCTCCAGACAGAAACACACTTCTGGGGGAACATGTGTCTTGCCTCAAAATGCCAGCCCTATTGCTGTCAGTGTCACTGTGTTTAAGCAAACCTTGATCAGCTTTTTGGTACTGCTGTAGAGGAATTTGGGTCCCAGTGCTTTGTCTTGGTGTCCTTAGGATAGGACCGTTTCACCATTTTCCTGTGAAAGCCCTTTAGACATCCTGTAGAACCAGTTTGTCTAAGCAGGGCCTCCGCTGAATCATAGAATCATTAAGGTTGGAAAAGACCTCAAGGATCATCCAGTCCAACTGTCAGCCCAACCCAACCTGACCCAACCCACTGACCCATGTCCCTAAGCACCACACTGACACATTTCTTGAACCCCTCCAGGGATGGTGACTCCAGAAATGTGTAGATGTGGTGCATATCCCCTTGCATATCTCCAACTTTGCATTTCTGCTTGCTACAGTCTTTAAAGCTGCCACAGTTTAGTACCTGTCATGCCCAATTTTAGAGCAAGCACCTTTCTATACGGACAGCTCAGTGTGTTGCTTGCTGATACGTTCGGTTCTTGGGGTTGCCAGCTCAACCTGAGTGTTTAGTGCATCCTTTTTTGAACTTGCAGAGCGCATTGGTTGTTCAAAAACTTGTCAGCATTGCCATCAGAGAGACCCACTGCTGTTCCTATGAGGATGTCCCTGATGGAGTGATCAAGTTTGGGCTCCTGGAGGCAAGGAACAGGGTCCATCTGGGGGATGGGGGATGTGGAATGTGTCATGATTCAACCCTGATCCCCTTTTTTTTTTTGCTGTTGCACCCGCAGGCTATTACCACCCCAGCCCCACAGCTGAGTATACTGAGGACAGTCCTGGGGGGGATTTTGACTTCTTCTCACGCCTGGTGAGCTCCTGGGAGGCTGCAGCTCTCATCCCTGGGAGCCCTGCTCGTGGTGTTGTGGTGAGATCTGGTGAGAAGGGGCATCATGCCTGTTCAAGGTGGCTCTGCTTCGGTGCTGGGGCAAGAAGGGGAAGAGCAGGGAGAAACACGTCAGGTCTTGTGCCTTGTTGGGTTGCTGTTCCAGTCCAGCCCTCTAAGGATTGTTTTCTGGTTGTAGGTCTGGGGGTAAAGGGGGCTTTTGTCCTTTGGAGAGAGTTGGGTCCTGGTCTCACTCTGTTCTCTCCACAGGGGTAGTGCTGGGCCGAGGTGGTGGTGCAATCTCTCAGATGCTCTGGCCTTTCCGTCTGGGACTAGGAGGCCCCCTGGGCTCTGGGCTCCAGCCCTTCCCATGGATCCACATTCGGGACCTGTCTGGGATTGTGTGTCATGCCCTGGAGAGTGAGTGCGTACAGGGCATCTTCAACGGTGTCTCCCCATCCTCCCCTGGCACCTCCAATGGCACCTTTGCTCAGGAGCTTGCTGCAGCCCTGCGGCGCCCAGCCCTGCTGCCAGTGCCTGCTTGGGCCGTGCAGGCTGTCTTTGGGGCAGAGCGAGCTGTCATGCTGTTGGAGGGCCAGAGAGTAGTGCCAAAACGCACCCTGGAGAGCGGCTACCATTTCATCTTCCCTGACCTGTCTGGAGCTCTGAAGGACATTGTGGCTTGAGGACTTGCGGTTGGGCTGGGTTGGGCCCTGTTTTTGTGAGCTCCCTGTCTCATATGCCTTCCCCTGGGTCGAAGAGGGTAGCCCTGCCCCTTCTTGACACTTCCCCATCCCCATACAGAGAGGATGAGCAATTCTTTCCCCTTCTTTCTCACTTGTGCGTCCCCAATGTAGGAGTCATCCCTGTTACTGCCATCTGTACTTTCCATGTTACCTGCTTTGGGCGAAGGGCACAATCCCATCTATTGTGATTACTGAATCTGCCATCTTCCCTTTCACACAGTGTGCAGAGCAGCTCGGGGGTGTAACGTCTCCTCTCCTGAGCTGCAGGAGTGGCAGCAGGAAAGAGGTGTTCGGGTGTTGTAATTCTTTCCCATGTTACTGTAAGTCCCTCTTCCTGTTTTTCCCCGTGTCTTTCCCCCATGGTTACATAGAGGCTTAGGTATGCTCTTCTGCTTTCCCTTCTCCGTCTCATAGGGAATGGAGTTGTGCTTGTGGGAGAAAATCCATCCTGAGGGGACACAAAGGGTGCTGGATGCCAGTGGTATCTCCTTTCTAGTGGTGGCTTGGTGCTGGTACCCGATTGCTGTGTCAGAACCCGCAGCTGAGTCCAGGCCCGAGAGTTGCACTCCTCCAGTGTTGCATGGTCTTGATGCTGTGGCAGGGATAAAGGAGGACACTGCTTTGCCAGCCTGTAGGGACAAGGGTGTCAGTGGGACTGTTGCTCCTGGACAGCTCTTGAGGCCTTGGCTAAGTGTCGACTACATCAGAGCTTGTGCTGGCGAGAAACGGGGTGGTTCACCTTGGTGTGAGGTCGTGTAAGGCACTGCTTTAGTCTAAAGGGAGCACTTCAGCTGCTGCCTTCATTGTAGTTACCTGATCAGAGGCAGTTGGTTTTCCCTTATTTGTCCCATGAAGTGTTGCTTGTGTTCAGAGGGTTCCACTGCTTGGGAAGGGAGAGTATCCAGGCTGCGTGGGCTGCCTTGGGAAGCAGTACCTCTTCTCTTCTGGAGAACATGACAATTTCATCATTTCATACTGTAAGGAAATGTATCCACATGCTTCCCATAACCCATTTTCTCATGCCAAAGTGGGTTGCAGGATGTGAAATCTACAGAGCAGCTAAGTTCATTATAGCACTGCTCCTGGAGAAATATTCCTAGTGTGATATAATCTGCAGATAGAAAAGTATTTTAGAAAGCACTTCAGGCAGTTAAAAAGACCTGCTCCATTCCTGAAATAAGAAACCATCCAGAACAAGAGTGGTCCACGATATTTCTGGTTTGTGCCAGGTTAATGTAGTCACAGTAGGTGAAGGATCAATCCTGATGGAGTCTAGACTCCCCACTCACCCGCCTCTTTGCTCAGTCCCTGCTGGAGACAGAACGGCCATCTCCTGACCTGGGCAGGACAAGCAGAGTGGGACTGTCCAGCTGGAACAGTCCTTGCAGTCAGTGTGAGCACAGCCAGGTGAGCTGGGACTTTGGGAATAGCTGTGAAAGCAACATCTCCTGAGATAAATGTGGCTTGCTTGGACTGTGTCTGTGCTGCCTGTAAGTTGGGTGCAGATTCCTTCCTTTTCCATGTGCCTCAGTTTCCTGCCCTTGAGAGTGGGCTGACCTACTCTGAGTGACATGCCCAATTGTTATGGCTGGAATGGTAACTTCAGTTGTGGTTCGTTGTGGGGGAATACAGTGGGGACAACAAGCAGTGCTTTGTCTTTAGTTACTCCAGCTGCCTTTTTAGAGACTCTCACTTCAGTCTGCTTCCGCAGATGCTGTGGGCTACAGCATCCTGTCAGCCAAGCTGGTTAGCCAGCCCAGCTGGGTTGTTGCTGTACCTGTGTGTACTGTGATGATTGCAACAGCTTTGGGTTGTGACTGGAAGTAAAAACAAAGCGCAGCTGGAGAAGTACTGGCAACCTGCAGCTCTTCTGAAAGAGGATTGCATATGCCATGGAAGACTGCCACTATGCAGGGTTCCCAGGCCCTGGACTCCCTGCCCGAATGTGTAGCTCACTCGGATTTTGAAGGGTTGCCTCTGCATGACGTTTGGCTTAAACGTATCGCAGGACTTAAATGACCTGCTGACACCTGAATCCCAGTATGGGATCTGGAAACACTGGCTGCTGGGTGCAATTAGGACTTTCCATCATGGTAAATTCACACACGCACTATGCTCTTCTGCCTACTGTGGAGCCACAAAGTATGTGTATCAGGGTGACAGCAAGCTGAGGTCTAGATTGGATTTTGGACCAGTGTTGACCGTAAGGAAACCCTGGGCTCCAGGCTGCAAGACTTTGTGATGCTAAGTACAGCTCTTGTGCTGTCCCTGCGCGGGCACAGTCAGCCTGCATTGCTCAGTGGTAGCAGAGTGTTTCTGCAACTATGTCTGAGCCAACTGCAGTGCCCCAGATGTGCTCTGAAGATTTACTCTGACTTAGAACAAGTCTCTCTGTTCTTTTAGAGGTGAATGCTAATAATTGGTGAGATGTGTCGGGGTGGCTGCTGCATCCAGCAGCCCCAGCCCAGGACCCTGCTGCCTGGCCACTGGCCTCCCAGCCTGGTGCCTTGGTACCCAGGGCCTCTGCCCAAGCTGAGATGCAGCTGCTGCTTTCCTCTTTGCAGGTTCAGTCAACCCTGAAGCTGAGCGCCTGTCAGAGACACGTGCACACGCACAGACACGGCTGGTCACGCAGACTGCTTCAGCCAAGATGCTGCTGTCAGCAGCAGGCACACATGAGACCTGTGTAACAAGCACGGCCAGCCATGTCCCTTCCCACTCTGGGGATGGCAGCCTTGCGTGGTGCCCTCAGGGATCACAAGCACATGCACACTCATGAGTCCCTTGAGCACCAGCGTGACCCCTCTGTCCACCCAGCACCCCTGCCTGGACCCAAGCCCTCTGACCAAACCCATGGGTCCTGTACCCTCTGGCTGCTCCAGCTTGATACACCGAGCACGCAGCACTCGCACCCTGGTCCCAAAGGCATCCCATGCTCACGGGTATCCTGAGGTACCAGCATGGGCCCCTTGCCTGCCTGATACCCCTGCCTGAACCCAGCACCTCTTTACCTGCCAGCTGGTCCAGCTTGGAGTTAGCTGGTGGATACACACGCACACCTAGCTTGTGAGAGATAAAGACACTCCCCAGCACCAGGCACACAAGCTTTGAGCTGCTGTCCCACTCCAGCTGCTGTCACAGAGCCCCTCACTCCTCTCAGTCATGCTGGTCCCCCAGTAAATGGTTTTGTGGACGTGCAGAGTTACCACTGCAGTGGCTGCAAGGTGAGGCCCCACTGGCTCCAGCTGCTGACACCAGAGGCCAGGGGTGCCTGCTCCGCAGTCTGACTTCAGCAGCTGGCACCGAATGCACTTGTTCTGATGCCCCCGTAGCGGGCTCTTAGTCCCTGCAGCACACCTACACACAAGATAAAGTGAGATTGTGCAGAGAGGGTTATGAGAAGATTAAAAAAGACAGGCTGCAGTGGTCAAGTGAAGAGCTCAGCAAACCAGCACTGACTGGCCCAGGTTTACAAACAACCAGCGTCTTTCATACCCCTTTCCTTTTTACTCCCCTCTTTGTTGCTCCCAGCTCCCGCTCCCCTGCACATTTCTCTTGACTGCTCACAGTTCTCTCAACAACTCTCTCACAGTCCCACCGACTCCATCCAACATCCTGGACACTCAGGTTTGCATCCTTACCAGTTGCAGAGTCTGTAGTGTCTTGAGAGCTCATCAGTTAGTGTGATTGATGAGGTTTGTTTCTGCTTATTGTCTTTGTTAATGCTACTTGGTCAGGTTTTATGACTCTGTGTGTTTGTCTCCCTCCCTTTCATTATCTTGCTGACTGTAAAAATAAATCTCGGACTCACTCCACACGTTCTTACCAACTAGGGTGACTGATCAGGTTTGTTGTCAGCACAATGTCAGTTACCATGTGTCAGGTTTATCTCTCTGTGTTCTTGTTCATGGCTCCTTTTGACCAGGTATCCTTAAAAGAGCAGACACGCTCCTTCTGCATCCCCTGACACTCCCCCACTGACTGTTAGTATCCGAAGAAGCTGCACCACTCCTCACTCCCATGGAACCTGTATGGGCCCCGGACGGGCAGCACACATTGGGGCAGGAGCTTGACGCCAGGCGTTTACTGGGGTGGAGCGGGTGTGCAAGGGCTGCGGTTGCTGGCCACCCCTGCCAGAGGCAATAGACGTGAACATATCGAGGCGCTTAAGATCAGAAACACTTCTGTAAGTGCAGCAGTTCCTATAGGCAAGTCCAGTTGTTTGTCTCCGATGGCTGCATCTCTCTGGGCACCGGGTCCTGGGATGTCCGTGGCCAGGTGGATCCTGCAGTTTTGGTCTCATTCCGTCAGAGCTGAGTGATCTGCACTGGTGACCTGCTTCGGGGTTAGCTCTGTGCGGACTGCTGAGCTGCACTGCAGTATCACAGACAGCTAGGCTTAATTCTTAGTTTTTGGAACCAGTGGTAGTTCTCTGCAGTATGTGAACGTTACTCCGTGTTACCCATTCTTTCACAAATTGTGAGACATTGCTGTTCTCCTAATTAAGGTTGGCATTTCCATTCCTGTACCTCTTCATTTCCAATGAACGGTTGTTTTGCCAGTCGATGGGGTTAGCACAAAGGACACAGGCACCAAATTTAAAAAAAAAGTAAGCTTATTTTACTTATGTTTAAAGTGATAAAATAATGAGGAAAATAATACAGCGAAAATGAATTATAGCAAGATAAGGTAAAGCAGCAAAATAATAAGCAAACTGCTCTAGCAAGCATATCATAAGGTAATGTACCTAATCATTACTACATAGACTCAGTGATAGTGATTAAGATCCATCACGAATTGCCCTAATAATATGTTACCATCATCCAGATCCACAGTTGCTGGGGAGCCTGGTTGCAGTGAGGATTTGGAGAGAACCCTTCCCGGCCATTGGGAAATCTCTATACAGTGCATCCACTGGATAGATGAGGCTTCCAAATTTC